CAGCGGCCGCGGGGGGAGGGGGGGGAGCAGCGGGCAAAATGGCGGCGGGCGGGAGGGCGTTTCCTAACGGCGCTTCCGTGAGGAGAACGGGGCCTTTCTGGCGCCTGGGCTCGCGTCCAGAAACGTCGCCTTTCCCGGCCGCGTTGTCCAGGGCGGGCCTGGCTGAATCCCCTCTCCTGAGAACGTGGGAAAAGGAGAAAAAATAATAAAATAAAATAAAATAAAATAAAATAAAATAAAATAAAATAAAATAAAATAAAATAAAATAAAATAAAATATGCAGAGTTCTGAATGCAGCAGATGCCCTTGAATGGAGCACAGGAAACAGCATTAGTGTTGCAAGTCACCTCCCTTCACTCAGCAATAATCACTCAATAAGAAAAAACATTAAGTCTTTATTGCAACTGTAGATTCCTTATGCTGAAATAAAGGAAATAATATGAGGTTTCAGTAAATAATGTCCAGKGTTTATTGTCGCAATTGTTCCATTKATAAAACACAGAACTTGTGGGASAGATTTAATAATTTTAAAACACTTGATCTCTAACATTAGATTAGTTCTGTTATTGCAGACATTTAATGGCAGGAATAATTCATATATCATACTTTGAAAGTCAGAACCAATACTAAAAAAAAAACAAAAAACAAAAAACAAAAAAAAAAAAACCCATAATTATGAACTAGCATTCAAACAGGTGAGGAACAGCAGGAACTGGGGAGAGCCGGCAGCACAAACGAGCACGCTCGGCCAGCTCAAGCACTTGCTCAGTGGCCGGTTTAATTTTTGCTCCCACCTTTCTTTCCTTGTCCATCCAAACGAGCCCTTTTCCTAACATCAAAAAGTTAACTCTTCTTCTTTTTGTTACCTTTATTTTGACATGACTGCATTTGTCATGGTTAAGTTATACTTAATTCTTGTTCTCCCATGAAAGACCATAATGGACTCTGAAAGGGGGATTTATCTGAAGATACTCATGTTTGATGCTGATTCAGAGCTGTAAAGTATTCTTTTAGGCTTTTCTTGCTTGTTAGTTTATTAATCTGTATTTGTTAAAAGCTACTTCTCCCTTAGTGTCCTGGAGAAGCTTGGCATCAGATATTGCTCCATGTGAAGATTTAGGAGGTTCTTCTTGCGTAGGTGGCCATGGGGTGTGYAGAGCTCGTGCCTCTGTGCTACTGCCTCTCGTGTTAATGCAGTTATAAATGCTGCAAACCCAGACTTAAATTATATTTTAGATGGTGTTGTAGAAAGAGATTTGCTTTCTTCTGGAGCAACCGTCAAAGCCTTGAAACAGACCAGAGAGTTGGGAGTACTTTTTCATTCCCTGATGTATGCTGAAGCAAAATACATTTAAAGTACTGTGAGTCTGTGGGATTTTTAGTGCCCCTCTGCAAAGGCGTAAATCCTGCGTGATCGATGAGGGATTTTTGCTGAGTGGTGCCTCACCTCCTGCCGCACGACTCTAGACTTCAGGGCCGTGGCTGAGGCACAATCTGTGGAGTCATCTTGCTGTCAGGTGCTCCTGCCCTGCAGAGAGCTGCAAAAAGAGTTTTCGCTGAATCACCCTGGCTCGATTTAAACATCCAGCCTAGCACAGAGGAGAGCTTGGGGAACCGAGGCAGAAGCAGAGGGATTATGGCAGTGCTGCTGAACAGATACASGAGACACACCTGGTTTTAGAGAGAGAGCGTAGGCAGAGATATGTTACGGCATTAAAACAGCTGTGTGTGTTCTGCCCTTGGGTGGGCATTCATAGAAACCGGTTTCTCCGAGCAAGATGCCAGATATTCACAACCCATTTTGAGAGATAAGATTTGTTTGTCCATTACTTTTTTTTTTCTCTTTTGGACAAGAAGTGTTTTGATCATTGCTAAGTGGAGTTTTGGCACTAAATCACTAATATACTCCTTAATTAATTGGTTCTATGTCAGGAGATGTGTTAGGTAATATGCATGTGGCAGTGTCCTGTATAGAAAGTGCTGTATGAAATCACCACAAGGAATAAAAGTTCGCTTACACATTTATATGGCAGAAATTGTGTAATTAAAGAAGCTAAAGTTGTTCCAACAAGCACCACCACCCTAACATGTTTAAGCATAATTTGAAATCTAGAGATGGAAGCTCCACCTCTGCATGTGGCAMAGATTTGCCGGTTGGCACAGATGTGGGTTCTCAGAAAGCTGGAAAGCGAATACAGAAATTAGGAAAAACAAATAGATCAAAAAGAATATCTTAAATATAATTTGGGACTTATGTAGATTAAATGTCTTTGTAAAGAATGAGGACTGGTGACAATAAGATATAAAATTAACAGGGTTTTTTGCTAGATCTGAACAATCTCAGTGATGGAGTACTGTGTTTGGAAACTTGATGGAAGAACTGCTTTTCATAGCGGAGCAATATTCACAGGTCTCAAAAAGATGAAAGTGTACAGAGCAAAACACAGGAGTAAAACGTGCTGCTTCCAAGTTGTGCCTTCAGAACTGTGCAGAAGGAATGCAATGAAAACCAGAAACACCACACACTTTCACCTTGCCTTGCTGCCTCTGAATAAATTCTTTGATAGATAGTCTTTCTTCACATGCTAACTTCCATCCAGTATTTGTCCCCTCAAGGTTACAAGCAAGGAAAACCCTCAAGCAAGGTAAGCCCTGACAGGCTTATTAAGTTAGCCAAGTACTTCCTCTTGACAAAATACACATTTGCACAATCCTCAGAGGTGTATCACAGTGTTAGTGCATATTTGAGATCACTTTGCTCCTCTACGTGATGCTGGCAAGAAACAGTTTTGAGGAGTATGGGAGAGATCTTTGTGGGATAACATTTCAAATTATCTTGACAATATACAGTTCTGCACTATTCCTGTCTGAGTTCTATCTGAGCAATATTAAATAGGGCAACAAAATTTGGTTACTGCAGCAACAGTTTTTACAATTTATTTTTATTACAATTGTTATTACAATTTATCTTGTTGAATGTTTTAGGCTGCTGAGGGTAAAGCAATCTATACTCAGCAGGTCACTAGTACCACCACAAAATAAATCTTTACCTACAAAATGCTGATGTCCTTCAGAAATAGTGGCTTTGATAATTTAATTGACTTTCAGCAACAAAAAAAAAGAGCCCAGAGAGAGATCTGGCTTCATACAGAGAGAAAGAACTGAATTTCATACAGAGAGAGAGAGAACGCACACAGCTGTGTTAGTTTGTGATAATAGTTTGTCAAATAAAGCACTGTGTTACATTAATCWTATTCCAGTATAGGTATCCAATCATATAATATAGAGATAGTGGTAATTATAACTTAGGTTATATGTTATATTTATRTAATAAATATAACTTAGGTTATATTTAGGTTATATTTTTATAATAAATACTTACCACTAAGGTGAGTATTTATTATATAAATAAATATATATTGGGAAGAAAGGTACTGCATGCTTCTAATGCACGGCTATGAGAAACTTTTTAAAATTTTAGTCTTACAAAATAACTCATGGCAAAGCCATAATTGCTCCCACTTCCAGTTAACTAAGTAACATTATTAATAACTTCACAGTAATATCAAAGAACGTTGAGGTTTCAGTGCTTTAGGCAAACATTAGTATCACTCCCCACCCTCACCCCCATCAAAGAATTCAGTAATTGTAAAATATATTTAAAATCTGGATAAAGCAGGCGGTGGTTTTGGGGGAGGGAGAGAAGAGAGATTATCTGAGATAGCAGCTTTGCAACTTCCCTTTATTTTGAACTGCTTGTTATCATGAGACCACTTGCTACAAACATTGATTGGTTTTAGAGGTTAAGGCAAGACACCTTTCTAGAAGTGACTTATGAATCTGGAGAGGCCTCAGTGTTGGGACATATTAGCTTTTATCTGCATGATCATACAACATACAGAGATTAGATTGTTTGACACAAGACTTCTGTCTTGCCTTTGAGTCGAGCACTCAAGATCACTTGTTAATGCCCATCTGAATGGCAAAATTCACCATAAAGTACTGTTTGCATGTCTGAAAAGATGTCAGCTTGAAAAAGACTGTTTATCATCTCAAAAAATGTATCTTGAGTGTTAGTGAGAAAAATTACAGTAATCATGAAAAGAATCTCAAAGATAACCAGAAAACTGAATTAAAAATAGAAAAATAGAAAGCTTCACTATCTACAGCCCAAAGGAAGCTGTGTATGTGTGTTCCAGAAAAGGTTAAAGAAAAAAACAAATCCAAGCCTTGATTGCTTTGCGAATTGATTTTCTGAGTGTTAAGAAAATAACCTGTTTCACATGCAATTCCTTCAGTGTGAATATGTATATATTCACATATTAACTTTCTAATCAAAACTTCCAGAATACAGAAGAGCCTGTGCTGTCCCTTTTCGTTACTGAGACTGAGGTGGAGCAAGTCATTGAATGCAGACTGTTGCTGCTGCATTCTCTTTTTCCGGCTGCCAAGTCACTCTCGCTGAGCCAGTGCAGTGGAATTCACTTAAGGGACACCTTGATGGATTGCCAGGAAGGCAGTATTGTGCTGTGCATTTCAATGATTGCATGGATCAATTGATGCACCTACTTCCAGAAAGACGGCTCTAATAGTGTGTGACTAAACCAGTTTGCAGCAATCTTCTTCTGCTAACAAGCTTTCYTTTGCCAGGGCACTGTGTGTGATATTTTCTGCTAACCTATGGCTCCTGAGAGAATCAGAATTACTGATCTGRAGTAGTTCCGGAGCTTGTGTTTTCATACAAGCTCCATGAAATGAGCTGTTCTTCTGACTCTTTGCCAAGGTTGTTGTTTTTCAATTCACTTGCTGTTTTTGGAAGAAGGAACTCCATACTTGGGCAAAACTCTCACTTTGGAGAGAATGAAGCAATTTCCTGTTTGCCTGKGTATCAAGGTGAAGCATTTTAGCAGCGTTTTTACTGCAGTTACTGTTTGTGTGCACTTAACTTTTTAAATAGAAAATGCTTGTGACTTTTGACTCACAGGTGCTCCAAGAAGCAGACATTCTCCTTGCTCATAATGCTGGCTTCCCAGGATAACTGAGACACGTAGGAAGAGCAATTTATAAATTAAAGTGTGTTCAAGGTTGCGAGGGCTTTATTGCTGGAGAGTCAAGTGAGAAGCCTTCTTGAAGGAGGCAGCTTTGAAAAGGAAACAATGGAATGGCAGAACACTACAAAGTAGGGAAGAAGATGTAGCAATGAAGAGGAACAGAGATCACACAACACTGAAAACTGGTCTGAAAAAGAGAGGATTTCAGAATTTCAGATCCTTTCAAAATCTATAAAGAGAATGCTGTTGAATTCAAGAAACTTGATATTCTGCAAAAAAATGTGAAAACTGCTACTGTACATTTGGTACTGTAGCAGAACAGAAAGATGACTTCAGTGGCATTCAGGTGTCACTTTGCTTAAAGCAATCAAACTATGAGTCAATGAAAACACATGAAAGGAAAGACCAAGCTAAACAGTACTGTAGGTAGAATATTACCCTAATAATAAAGTAAATATGACAGAGACTTTATCTGAGCTTGGATAACATGACTACTAGCTAAGGAGTTACAGATATTGAGGAAGGAAGCGGTAAGTATGTAGTTACAGAAAGCTAACAGAGGCAAAGATGAGAGGATGAGCTGTGGAGACTGCAAGTTTGAAATGTTCCTAAGACATCTGTAAGGAAAGTGATCCCAGAAACAAAAGGAAGCAGTTGGGAAGAAGGTAAAAAAAAAAAAAAGGATTTTTTTTGGATTCCTCTAAATTGATGTAGTAGATAAGTCATAGGCTGGGTGATGTTCCAGTTGGAACACACCTGTAGAAGAAAAAGACATACCACTAGATAGTATCAAAGAAACGGAATTGGAATCTAGGCGACCAATGGATTAAGAGAGTCATCTTCCTTATATGATAACTAGGTTCAGCTGCAGTTTCGGCAAGCAGGTACTAACTCAGGTCACCAAGAAGGAATTGCTTGGAAGAAATGAAGAAATTACGACCACTAAGTCAAGTTAAGTTGCAATTTCAAAAGCAGTTCATGTTCAGAGTGGGCGTTAACCTTAGTGAGGCTCATGCTGAGGACAGAGAAGATTCCTGTGTGGGATTATTAGTGTTTGCAGAACTAGCTCTGGAATTTAGCTGGGACAGCAGAGAACACCTGGCTGAGAAACAGCATCTTGTGACTGCATCTGCCTAGGCACACCCTGTACCTTCATGGATATCCTGAGTGCACACACATTTTGAAAAAACATAACAGGATCTGCACTTGAGAAGAGATTAAAGGTTAGGCATGAAACAAAGAATACAGAGCAGTGTAGACAGCAACATGTTACCTATAACAGAATGCTAACAAGCAACAAGCTGATAGTATTGAGGGACTTTGAATGCAGAATGGTGTACAAACGCAACCAATCCTCTTATGTTCGTAGACCAAAAGGATGGAGAAGTTGTCCTCTAAGTTGTGCCTGACTGTTTAACTACCACTGAACTGTTTAAACAAGGGCTTGTAAAATTAGAAATCAAAGGAATGCACCAAATATTGAATGCAAATATTGATATTTTTGATCACCTTAGTAATTGCAAGTTAGAATAAAAGTTCTGTATTTTAAAACGATGGCTGTGAAACAAGCTCTTTTCCTTCTGCTATCCAAAGGTCATAAGCACTTAGGCTTTACCACAGATTTTATATTCAGTGTGCATGAATCATGGGTTTTCCTGACCTCACCATTACGTGTTTTCAAAGGCAAAATCTAGGAAACTAGACACAAAAACTGTTGGGCCTTTGTGCTACTCCAAATCTGTACATCAAGATAACTAAGGTATATATTGAAAGCAAAAATGTTTATAATTCTTAATTATTGAAAGGAACACAGCCTAATGGTTAGAGCATGAACCTAAGAGTCACATGAACAGAGGTATCACAGTTCTTATAATGAGTCACAATTTGACCTTTTGTGAGTCATCTTGAGGCTTAAGAATAAGAGATGAATGTCGTTTTGTGTGTCAGGTACTGTTAGGACAGCTGTGAAGTGGGTGAGATATTTTGTATGATTTCATAACTGAATAGTAGTAGGTACTGCCAGTGAAATCTGTTATTAAGCAGAGAACTGTCCTTGGTTAAACTGTCATATCAAAATCGGTCTTGAATGAGTGGCGTATGGTCGTATTTCCTAGCTGCAAGTCAATCTACAAGCTGTATCTCAACTAGCAACTTTCTCTCACTCCCTTTGGGTCTGAACAGATAATTGGGTATTGTCCTCTGTCTTTGGGCAGTGCTTTTGCTCCTGGAGGTGACAGCTCCAAGAACATCCTCTGCCCACAGCTCTTCATATCTTTCCTACCTGTTTGTTCAATGCAGGTACCTTGACCTTGTAGTTTACCTACTTGATTGCAACTGCAAGTAGAGCAAGATGATGATGATGATGATCTGTCCCCCTTGCAAATAACTCTGGACTTCTACAAGTCTAGTCCTATGGAAGAGACTGTTTGCTTTTACTATGTATCATGTCCTGAGTAGCCTCACAAGAACAGCAACTAGATATCACAGTGGAACTACTAATTTTTTTCCTGCTTACATAACAATATTAAAATCATCTGGAAAATAGTGTTCTTACTATGGGACAAATTATTCAGTTTCCATTTAAGAGGTAAGTTTTGCTTACTGCAACATATTCCAGAGCACAGGCTACATTGGTATKAGATAGAGATCGGTATGCAGGACAAATTAACTCAAGCCTGGATAGCTACAATAACAGGAAACCTTGGGTGGATTTGCTGACTGAGCAGCATCTTTCCCAACAGAACTAGCAACCATTCAATCTGCCACTGTTGTTGCAAAGAAACTTATTAGAGGTGGGCTTTTTTAAGAATGGATTTTTATTGACTTTCCAGATGACATTATTAATCCATGTAAACAGGATTTCTACTTTGCACATAATAGAAAGTGTAAACAGATAGATGAGCAGCAGCATATGCTCGTGTTTCCAATGGTGATCCAGCACTTGCCTTTTAAAAAAAGTCCTGCTGTTGTCAATTTGCACTTCCATTCTGAACCATTTGTAGATACTCCTTGTATAACTTTTCTTGSGTTTCATAAAGTTTCTTCAGCTTCTTAATTTGACCTTTGCTGAGTTCTTTGCCTTCTGTATCATGGGTAGGAAATCCCTGGAAAGATTAAAAAAAAAAAAAAAAAATTAGATAAATGGGCTTCCGGATACTTTGGCTGCTTTTGTTCCTCAAGGAATTGAGTTCTTTTGATTGAATCATGTTTTAACGAGATAGGGAAATAATGTCATATTCCACTTAATAGCAAACTATCAAGGTGGCAAACATCTTTGCTAACTCTAGCCACTTAGAAGTTAAGCGATTATATTTGGCTATTTGTCTGTATTCCCTCCCTAATTAATGAAGGGGCAAAGTGTGTATTTATTTCTGTCCCAAGAGGAGGAATTTTATACAACTAACTCTTACATAGTTATGGTTAAGTGAGGTTTTGACTAATACTTAACTAACTTAACCTGCTAAAAGACCACTTTTAATGATACCAGCATTAAACCTCAGACTTTAAGTAAAAGCAGTAAGAGGCTTGTATCCAAATGGATAAACTATGATTTTTGTGGAGGTTCTCCTAGCTTGCATGCTTATTCTCCAGTATTTATATTTGCTGTATCATACCATTCTTACTCATTCCCAGGGAATGAATTTGCACWGTAGAGGAAGACAGGAAGCAATGCCCCAGAACAAGCCCTGAAGCAACAGTGCTTCATGTTTTCCAGGTAACACCTTTCATGCTGAGAAGAGCAATCTGAGCAAAGGCATCAGTACAGCTCGCTCTCAGATCTATTGCCAGAGGAATGTGAAATGAAGGGCAGACCTAAACCAGAAGCACAGGGTATCTCTGAAAAACCTGCCTGTTTCCATCACTTCTGGCAGAGTTAGGAAGTTTGTCCAGCTGCAGTCTTAATTCTGCAACAAGCTATTTTAATAAATCTGTGAATGAATATCATGCAGGTTCCTACCCACGATACCTACAGGGCATTCTTGATGTGCATTAGGATGGTCAAAGGGGACCAAAATTAAATGAAAGCATTCCTGAAAYGACTGCTAGCAGTTAGATAACCTTGTTCACCAATACAAGGCAYGCACAAGAAAAATCGTAAGAAGATATTTCTCTCCTTACCTTCTTTCTCCTATGTTGTAACATTGCCCTCAAGGTTTTGGAACAGAACCAGCTATCTACACATGCAACTGAATATGTACAACCGTGGAAGGAGACCTCCTCCCCAACGAAAAAAGGTCTCAAATTCTTACATTTTCATCAAACATGGAATACTTGTCATGTTCCGATTTAAACATTTCGTGTGGTGGAATCTTCATTTTTGCCAGTTTTGCAGCCTGCAATATAAAACATGCATTAATGGCATTAGCATCAGAGTGAGTTATTCACAGCCTGTCTTTATACAAAACTACCCCTCAGACATGTGCAAAGGGAAAGGTAGRTAATTTGCAGAACAAGGACCATCTGAGTCACAATTGTTTATTATGTGAAAAGAAATTTTCAGTGAGGAACAGTTCAATAATTCTTGGATGTGCTTGTCCAAGAAAATAAGAATGGATGTTTTATATTTGCAGAAAACCACTTAAACAGCAGTATTGCAGGAGCTCAAAATAATCATCTCATACTCTCCCAAAACTGTACTTGTATTGTGCTAAACTTTCTTCCCTAGCTTTCTAGTTGTAAACAGAAAGTGAATTAGTTGCTATGAGCAAGGAATACTAAGCAATGAGCTCACTGCAAAGGAAACTATCAAAATTGTCCTGTTGATGAGAATAGGGTTCTGTGAAGGTCACAGCAGGATAAGGATGCAAGTATGTGCACTGAAAACTAACCAAAGTTTTACTTATTTGTGAACATCTCAGAACTCATTCCAAGTAATCTATGCCTAATGAAAGGAAACCCTTTTTAAAAAGTGCTAACTGCAATCCATGGAACTTAAGTGCTATTTAATTACTTTTCTCTCTAAATATACTCTGTCAAGGTTTACTTCCTGCTTAACCAGAAACTTATTTCCTGTGCTGTTAGAACCATTGACATGACAAATCATCTTTTCCCTTTATGAGTTCATTTGCTCTAGCTGCCTACACCTCACTCCAAACCTTTAAGCCATCACAATGCTCACTATGGAGCTGAAATGTGTTTTTATAAAGAGCTATATTCCWGAGTTTAAGGGAGGAGGTGGACTCTTAGAAGGATTTGTGTTCGTATTTACCTAAGACACTGGTCAGCAAATGAAGTGACACAAGCAAAATTCTTTTTAACAGAAATGTTAGAAATTGCTTTCGAAATTAAAGAAAGAATACTTTCAGTCTTGGTATCAAATATGGCTGCTTTTTAATAGGTGTCATCAAGGATCAAATCTAAATTGCAGGCAAAAACTAAAAAATAAAAAAAGGTCCAACTGAGGCTAATACTTACTTCCTGCTCTTGTTTTTTCCTGGCTGCTTCTTCTTTCTTCCTTTTTTTCTCTTCTTCCATCTAGGAAAGGTAGTAAAAGAAGAAAAAGGTAGCTGTTTTAAGCATTTTTTCACATACATGATGGATTTAAAAACAACAAACACTTAGAAGTATTCATTAAATCCCATGGAAAATTTTCAAGCAACTGTTGTTTCAAAAAATGCTCTTCCTGAATGTCACTCAAGTTTCAATCTCAGTTCTGGTATGTTATTTTACACATTACTAATGTGTTAAGTTTCTTTTTTCTTTTTTTTTTTTTTTTTTAATAATTCATTGATGATTTGTAAGAGCCTCCATAGCCTCCATTCTACTTCTACACATGAAAAATGTTAAATGCTTAAAACATTTACCTTTTTCTTTTCTTCTCTTTCTTTCAATAATGTGTCTTTATCCACTAATTTGACCACAGTTGGCAGTCCTGAAGGAACAAAAAAAAAAAGATAAATGAGTTTTCCAATATCTGAATAAAAAAAGATAAATTTGTATACTATATGACAACTTTTCCTCTACAAATGCAACTGAATGACTACTTAAAAGTGGCTAAGCACTTAGGTAGTACTGCACCGTAAGACTTCAAGGTACCTTTTTACTGTCTATATTTTCAAATAGAAATTKATAGAGTACATGTTTATACGCCAGAAACAAGACATGCTAAAATTTTTGCAGTCCTCAACTTTTTGGATTATTCCAGATTAGTCTTTGWCATTTTGTTTTCCCATAGCCTAAGAAAATAACAAGATAGCAAAAACAACTACCTACAAAGTTACCAGGCCTATAATTGTGTACCTTCATGATCTTCAAATCGAACACCCAGTTCAGGAAGGATGTCATCTCGAAGAGCATCACTCAACTGCAGCACTTCAGTTACTAGAGTGCATGGGAAAAAAAAAAGACATGTAAAGAAGTAAGATTTCATGAAATTACCCTCCTATTCTACTACATTATTAAAATATATTTAAGAAATTGGCAATCTTTCACATTCATTAAASGCACATGTTTTAAGTGACCAATATTTTAAGTAAGTTTTGTCATCTTTCAGCTACAGGAGAAGCAGCATGTTTCATAGTTCAGGATTCATAAATTTCTTGCAAGATGATCCCATTGCTCTTGAAAACAGTTATAAGAGTTCAGTTCAGTAACATTCAGGCAGTAACAGCTACTAATCCAGACTCTCTTATATGCAAATAMTGTGCATACCATAAATACAAGTACCATTCCCAGGTCTCCACTTGTTCCAAATTTCTTAAACGCTTGGGAGCGTTTTACAGCAGAGAAAGCACTGATTACCCAACCAGCATGAAAAGGAAAGGACACCCCATCACACTGTGGAGCTGTGCTCTTTGCTAGAGTTAGCAGAGTGACTCTGTGTACCTGAAAGCATTACATTTTATGGGAGCAGTTCTGTCTGTCATCAGCTAAGTATTTATTTTTCCTCATCGCAAGCAGGTATAAACAGAGAACCACACTCATGTTTGATGGAACTCTAAAGAAGCCAATTAAGATAAGCCAGGGATAAGTTTACCTCGTTAGCTGTTAATACTAAAAGGTGTTGACTCTTGCCTGGGTGAAGGAATTAAGCATGTCATGTCAAGAATGTGTCTGATACTGTTTTATTATGTAAGTGGGTGTATCTGTTCWGTTATAAATATTTACTTACCTGAACCTATGAATAATTGAAAATATAAGAAAAACAAATCCTCTGAGGTAGAGAAAAATGAGAAACGTATACACAAAGCATGCGGAATTCACGGAAGGATAATGTCCAACCAACCCTCTGCTATCCAGGGGAGTCAACACAGTAATTCTTGGGGGAGCAACGTGCCTACTCATTGCATGTGCTACCTCCAGAGGGATGTTTAGGGATTGGCAGAGGGTTGCTCATGGGCTGCCCCAACCCACACACTGTTATCCTTATCAAGGACTGTGACAGGGAGAATAGTGGGATGATGCTTCATCATCAATGACCATGAAGACAGTCAGCTAAGAAGGAAGTGGAGCCTAGGCTATATACGAGCCTCTGATCATAATCCAGCTTTACTTTCATGTTTTCTGTGCATTCCAAGTCTGGCATGTGAAACAGGCGATGTGCTGTTTCTTCCCCACCGTGGCAAGAAGGAAAAGGACTTAAAAAACCTCTTGAGAATGCTAGATGTTAAGACTGGCAGCAAAGAAAGAGCAGGTAAATCTTCTCCTAACTCTTTTCAATAGAATATATTAGTAGGAGGACAGAAGGTTTCCCACTGTGTCCTAGAAGTAGCCTAGAGCAAGACCCAGCAATTCTAATTCATGGCAAAATAATCACTGCTGGGAAACGAAGGGGCAGGCAGAGTTCAGAAACAGACACCTTTATACAGGGTAGTCAGTTTAAACAGATGTCCTCAGGTAAGTAACCAATAACAACTACAGAGAGTTGCTCCTTTTTGAACATYTGATTCATGTTCATAAACTCCTGAATCTAAACATCATCTAAAGCGTAAGGCTGCACTACACAGTGAAGCTCTGCACAAGCAGTCATCAAGGACTTTTGCAAAAACTTTCTGCATTTCTTTCCCTTGCACAGACAACATAGTGTTTTCTTTCCATTTATCACCCTTGCAGGAATTATGCACCCATTAAGATTCAACTGCAAATGACTGCTATTTATATACCAAGAAGCTTTATTCCTACTCCCTAATTTATTTTACTACTACTACTAATAATAATGAGAAGCTTCCAAATGAGAAGCTCAAGTCAAAGTTTTTGAATTTTTTAGAATTACATGAAACATTTTCTCTTGAGACTGATAAACTTCTTTATTAGCATCAATTAGAGCCATAGGAATTTAATAACAACAGCTAAATATTCACATGAGCAAATACAACTACATGCTTTTAAGGTAAACCTTAGTAGCTTACCTTAAAACTACATGAATTCAAAACAGTAGCAGAACTAGGGTTCAGATTCTTTGCCAGCTGAATAGGTCTTCAGCAATATAAAGACAGGATGACTTTGAGTATAAGTTAGATATATCTATACTGAACTATATATCTCCTTATTCTCCCTTCAAGTATAAGCTAAATGGGAAAAAATAATTCTAAAGCAAATGAGATTGAAGTATAAATTGAAAATGAAAAARAGTTCATGGGGAATGGTAGAAAATAATAAGAGCTTAACTAGGAAGTAATCGACCCATAAAATCAAAGAGGGCTTAATGGAACAGCATTTGTAATATTATATTGCCCTGCTACCTTTTCAAAGGAAATAAAAGCTTTTCAAAGGAAAAATTAAAAAGGCCAAAAGAACCTTCAGCAAACACTCACATGAACTCTCCAAAAAGAGTGGCAAATTACCACCTGAGGACTTTCAATTCCAACTGTGTTAACAAACAAGGAGGAACATCTCTGGCTATTTAAAACAGAGACAGCATCATTGTGTAGCAATCTACACTTCTCCAGTGCAAGATCCCAGGGAGGGGACAGTGTGTGGCTACTCTCATGTCTGGGAAGCATGGAATGCACTGGTCTAAAAAAATAAGTTCAGCAACTTAGGAAAGTGTTTCCTAAATCAGAGACAAACATGTACATATTCAAAGCAATTCTGGTTTAATTTTGTACCACAAAGGTTCATTCCTACCACCTATCAGTCRCAGGTGCAGTAACACAGGACAAAAAAAAAAGCAAACTCTCACCTTTCTTCTCTCTGGCAATTTGTCGCACTCCTTCTCTAAACTCAGAAAGGACTTGTAGGTATGGCATCACTGTAGATTCAATCTGTGGAACAATTATTTCTACAATCCGTTATTCAGAATTTAGGCTTAAATCATATCTTTATCCACCTGGATACTTGGATGTAAAGATAAATCATATCTTTATCCACTTGGGTAGATGCTGTTGGGTGGAAGTCGACCCTAAGAACAGATCCCTACCAACAAAAACTGTCATTGCTCTATTCATGTCAAGGGCAGGACAGACTTGCATTTATTAACAATTTTGGTTTTGAGCACATGAAACTAATCTGAAAAACGCCCACTCTCCCTATTCCTTCTTCTTCTCCTTTCAGTTGTGCAGATACAACAGTTTTGGAGGGCTATGCTAAAGGCTGGATAATTAAAACGCAGTAAGAACATAAGAACAGATAGCATAAGAACAGCATAAGAACAGCTGCCAAGCCTGCGCTGGAGAACTCTACCCAGCTGAATTTGCCCCTTCATGTTCTGAAGATATCTTACGTAGGTGAAACTGCTCCTCAGAAATAATACCAGATGCACCTCAGGCTAAGACTTATTTGCACTAGAACACAAAATTATTCCTCAGAAGTTAGGTTATCCTAATGTGCATTTGTTCCACCCTTTCCCTGCCTCCAACCAAATAAAAAAGTGGTGAAAAATTTGTATTGAAGTATTTCAGATATAAGAAACACGAAAGCTCACAGGAATGTCTTGAGAGTCCTGCTCTCAATGGCAGTGAATAGCACCAGCAAGAAATTACTGAATGGTGAACCACCACAGAAGTAACTACAGAAAGTGCTGCCTGCCACCGCTTCTCTGCAATCCCAAGATGAGAAGCYGGGCACCAGTAGGACTGGTTACATTAGAAGCAACATTTCTTTGCAGGGCAGGAGAGGGAAAGATTTATACTTTTAAGTAAAGACAGTTTCCACATGTCTTCACCTAGCTGTTAAATCTCTGTGACAAATTGCTGTGCAAACAACAAATCCTACCATCCGCTATGCTCTAAAAACACCCACTGAAACATACTGAAGGACTCAGTAAAAACTTTTCATAAGTGAAAATTCATGCTATAAAACCAGCTTCAAAATTGGCACCTGTGCTGACAGGCTCAGCAGAAAGAACAGACTGAACACTGAGTAATGGTTGCTTCTCCACTGAGCTCTCTCCACTGAAACGAGTTTGAGATGCACAAACAAAGCAGCAGCATGAAAGCACGTCCTGTTACTACTCTGTTATGCGTCAGGAGTCTAAAGATTAAAGTTTTTGATTTCCAGAACAATTAGCCTTATAGCAATGTTTAATTCATCTGAAAAATGAGACGCTGGGATCTGCAGTTTTCCTGCTTCAAGTCTCTCCTGCTCCCCTTTCAAGTAAATCACTGAACCACAGTAATTACAGTCATGGCTCTGTCAGGCTTTTAAAGAGGATTGTGCCTTTTTTGGAGATAATGACCTTCAGATCCATTGAGTCCTTCATCTCATTTGGACAAAGAAACAATGGACCTGATCCACAGCCTTCTGTAATTAATGAGAACCTTTCCAACCTTGAATGTTCACCTGGTAATTACTGCTAAGAAGAAGCATCTGCATGGAAGACTGAGAGAGAMTATTAAAAGGGAGAGCCAAAAACATTTTTGATAGTAAACATCTTAATATCATAATGTTTAAAATCAGTAATTTCTAAGGTAGTAAAAACTGAAGCTTCCTCCTGTGAAAAGCAAAAATATCTGCTTAGAGATACATGACTGCTGCTATGCTTTGAATTGACCGTGAATAGAAAAACAAATACTATAAAAATTACATGAATTACTAACATTACATTACATGAATTACATTACTAACAGGTGTTAAAATCCCCCTTCTGCACCAGATTCTCTTGCTTTCACTAACTTTGGCAGTGCTATTTTAAAAGAGTGAAAAGCGTAATTTTGTGTTCCAAGGCAATGGCCACCCCTCTGTAAAGTATGTCTACTGTAAGCACTGTGTTAAATATGGATTTGGTTTTCATTTTCTCTGAAAAGATAAAGACCAAAGAATTGCTTTTCTTTTGAAATTCAAAATAATTCTGAGCTAAATTAGAATTTACTGGGTTTTTTTTTTTAAAGGAATGCTCAGCATCTTTCATTATTATCCTTGTTATATATATCATTACTGAAGATTTCCACAGCACAGCAATATAAATACTTGCCCAGGCAAACACCAGGTGGATGTTCATTCACATTATTCAATCATAAGTTATTTCTTTTTCATTCTTTGGTGATTATAAGGTTTATGTTATTATTATTACACCCCAAATGTTTCAGTTATTCATTTTTATGAAGGAATCAAAACATGTATGGTGCTCACAGCTTTGAATGTAAGCTTGTATGAGACTGATATTGGAAGCTACTAGATATCAGATGTGCACTTAAAAAAACAAACAAAACAAACACTTGGACAAAACATTGCCTTTTAAAGCCAAAATTTCACGATGAACAGAGAGCAATGCATGCGCTAGATGCAGAGAGCCTCATGCATTAGGCTTCTTCCAAGCATTTCCAGGAAAATTCCACATCACAGTGGTACTTGCTGGGCGACCAAAAGAAAACAGCCTTTGAAAGCCAGATACATTTTGTGGTTGTAATTGAGATCAGAAAAAGAGATTAAAATGAGGATGAAACTCCAGCTGCCTCCCGGCTGCTTTTTGGTTTACCACAAGGATTTTTAATCAGTATAATTATATTTTTGAGACTACTTAACATACAAATACTTGTAACGAGTGTTCAGGCTCTGGCATGTACTGTCTTTAGTCAACATGTGGTTTTCTTAACCAGACTCATCATTCAGAAAAGAAGATAATTCTTTTTCTGGTTGCTGTACAATTTGTCTGTCATTAAATAAACCAATAAAAAACCCAGCTCTTGGTAAATGAAAAAAATCTCCCTCCTAAGTCAATTCATTGCTTCAGATTCAAAAGGTTATAAGCTGCAAGAACAGAATTCAGCTACATATCAGTAATGTAATCACTTGATCTAATGTAAGCTTTCAAAGGACTACAAAAGGACACAGAGTAATTTTGTACGGTGTACTTTGTCCTTCACTTACATTTATGTTTTGACTACTTCCTCCAACAGGAAACCCAATTGCATCATCACTCTCTATGGCACCAAATATCTGGTCAAGGGAAAAAAAGAAATTGTATAAACTAACAGATATGTGAAAACTAAGCAAAAATCATTACATACTAGAGTTCTGAAGCCACCTAGTTGATTTAACCCACAATTCACTACTCTAGAAAGAGATCTTTTTTTTTTTCCTCCTTTTTTTGATACCACAAATCACTAATTGTCATTCTAGTCTAGCTGTAATGTTGTAAGATTTGAACATTTGACTTCATTGTTTTTTCCTACTGCTTAATTTTCCTTGAATGYATTAGGAGCTTCCTACTATTAATGAAAACATTAAATAAGATTATAAATATAAATAAATATAGCRTAAAGGCCTCCAAATTGTCCCTGCTGCAACAAGCACCGCAATTCGAGCTTTTTTTGGGGTTGGGCAGAGAAAGGAAAGGCCTCTAGATTTCTGCGAGATTTAAACAAAGACCGTACAGATCCCTACATACTTGAAAAATACAACAGCAATAATTGCACAGTGCAATAGCAACTTCAATCCTTGCTATTACATACCTTTAGCATTTGAGTTAGATAGGAACTGATGTTTTCTAAAAGAAGTCTGTTTGGCATTTGTCTGGAAGATTTCTTTGCAGCAATATAGGAGTTGCTCTGACTGACTAATGAACGCATTTCTTCTAAGACAGAGCGAGTATCAATATTGTCACACAGTGCTTCATGAATTGCTGCCTTCTTGTCGTAAAAACTAAGAAGAAAAAATTTTATTTACTATTTATGTCAAAAGGATCTGCAATCTACTCTGAACAATTTCTCCAATCTGAAGAACTACTATTAGAAAAACAAAAGGGACATAAAAGTGAGATAATCTTCTGGTGGCCACAGTTGTATTTGAAGAAAAACAGATGAACAAAAGAAAAGTATCGTCATGGCTGATGGTTTCCTGCTATGAAGAAAAACATGCAGGATAACTATCCAAACAATATAAATATATAAATATATATATTTTTCCCCAGGAACTGACTTTTTAATACCAGTTTTAACAAGCAGAACAATTTTGTTATTTCATTTCTTCCTGTATTTTCCTGTTCCTGTACATCACTATTTTTTCTCCATTTTTTAAAAAATGGCAAGGAATGAAATTGAAAACGAAGTTTTCAAAATACACCTCCAAACTGAAGCATCTGTACTTGAATATTCAGCAGCAAGCATCTCTTAACAACAATAAGCTGCCCTAGGAACAAGTTATTACTTCCAATAAGTCAAATGCATCGATTTTAAATTTTGCAAATAATAAAACCACACAAGAAGCTGTTCATGCTGCAAACAATAATGACAGCTTCATTATAAAAGTGAAATATTGTAACATTAATTTTCTCTCCATTCAACAAGACATCTTTTTAAACATTGGCACTGTGATCTTTTCTTTCGTGATCTAAGTCAAGTCATTTAATTTGATTGTCTCAGCTTACTCATTGCATTTTGAAATGTGTAAAATACTATTTTAAAAGTTCTAGAGTTCTAGACTGTATCAGGATTACTAGCCATTCCTCAGATGGGAGGGCAGCTTTTCAAGAAAATGACAGCTATATAGCAAAGTAGTTCTCTTCCCCAACACGAATAGAGTGGTTTTACAGCTAAAAATTTACAGCTGTAAATTTTACTGGATGTTGAGATACTCACTGGAAGTGCTACATAAGTCTTAACTATCACTAGTGAGGCATTTTGGAAGTAATATCATTTTGTGGTGAAAAAACAAAACATGCATCTACATCATGGCTATTCACAGAGAAGCTGGAATATTTCACTCACGTTTTGTTCAGCTCTGCTTCCTGGTTTTCCCATTTCTGAAACTGGCCTGTCACATCAGTGGGAGCTCGAAGAATATCCTTCACATTTAAAAAGAATTCCTACAAAAGAAGAATATAGCTCAAAAACAGGTTAAACTACACACACAAAAAACAATACTTACTAAGAAAAGGTCTATTTCTTACTTAGTGTTGATGCAACCAACTTTAGAAAGCTATTTCAGCCCAGATCACTGAACATCTGTCAAAACAGGGAAACCCACATATTTTGTGTAACTCAAAGTCACAGTATTACTGTAATTCAGTCCCATGTCTTGATTCTGCCACACTGTAATAAGGTATGATACCCTAACATCAAGCTGCTCAAACACAAATCCGTTTACAAAAGTTATGTTCTTTTTAAATGAGAATTCTGAAGATAAAGTGTTTTGTCAGCAAAGTAAGCTAAAGAATGAAAGAACTGAAACAGCTGTATAACAAGGGGCTCTTTCAGGTGGGAATCCACTTGGTGAGAGGTCATTTTCACTTMTTCCATGGCCCAAAGCAAATGCTTTACATAAAAAAGTGTAGCAGCTGCAATTGGAGAGACCAAGATCAATGATCTGCAAATCATTGCAGTACAGCACTGCCCCAAACTATGCAGAGGACAGTGGCTGWCCCCTCACACCCCAGCTGCCAGATCTAAAGACAAATGCTTTATATATGTGGTGAGGAGGTAAAGGTAGGAATGACACTATACCCTCCTCTTCTAGTTGTACTGTGTGAAGTCTGATGAGATGGACATATTATGAGAGTGAATGTTGGACTGAGTCTTGAAAGCAAGCTAGGCTGAGAAAATAATCTTGCATACAAGTGTCAAGCTGCTCAGACATATCAAAACTCAAGAGAATCTGAGAGCACCCAGCTGCTGAAAAATACAGCTGTCTAAGGAGTTTATGTGAATTCAGAGGTCACTAAAAGCAAAACAAAAAAATGGGGGGGGAGGGTGTTTCTGAATTCAGAAGGCAACTCCTTCTGGGGATAAGGCCCATATAAATTTGGGTTCCATTGCCTGAAACATGTATGACAGCACAAAGGGCACAGAGATGGAGAAAGAATGAAAAGCTTACTCACATTCATAAACTTCTCATATTGAATAGCTGACTCCATGGTATTGTTTGAATAATCCAGTGTATCCTTCCAAGAGTGCATGAGGAAAGCCAACCGTAACTGCCGTGCTATCAGTTTTAAAGTAAACAAAGAAAATAATCATAAACTAAGGTATTTTATGGCCTCTGATACTGTAATTGCTAAGAGCATCACAATCTAACATTGTTACTCTCAATTCATATACCAAAAAAGGGAGATATAATCATCCACACCTTACAGATGAGAAACAGGGAAGCTGTTCTAAAGTTATTTAGCTATTTAATGATGAAAAAAAGACACTTGGATTTATTCAATTCTGGAAATTTCATTTTGTGTCTAAAGAGCAAAATTAATACGGTCATCACTCAAGCTACATCACAAGCATTCAAATTCCAAGGTTATTTTTACCTGTATGCTTCTTCAGGGCATCTTTTATAGTAATGAAATTCTTTAAAGATTTGGACATTTTACAACCAGCAATTGTTAAGTGACCAGTATGCAGAAAATATCGAACCCAGTAATCATTTTCAAAGTATGCCTGCAGCAAAAACAAAAGAATACAGAGGAATCAGCACYGTATAAATATATATCACAAACCAGGATAATACAGGTAAATAACGAGGAAAAGTTATGCTTATACAGAAGACATGTAATATCTTAAAAATGACCTGATGGATCTGCATAAGGTGCAGTCAAAGCTAAGCATGTAGCTTCCTCACTGCAGTCTGAAGACCCTTGGCAGATCATTTACCTCAGACTGTGCCAGTTCATTGTCATGATGTGGAAAACGAAGATCAAATCCACCTCCATGAATATCCATCGACTTCCCTAGAATGGATCCAGCCATTGCAGAACATTCAATGTGCCAGCCTGGACGGCCCTGTTTAGACAAAGACATTGCCTCAAGTAATTGCTAATTATTTGTTTTCCTCTCCTGCCTATGCACCATTTCTGCACTGGTATGTCCCTAGCCTGTTATACCTGTAAAGAAGTGAGAAACAGAATAATCTAGAAAAATAAAAGATTCACAGTCTCTCAGTTTCATAAAGGGATGCCAGTTGGACTTCAAGATTCAGTATCACATATATATCTGTGACAAATTGATTATACAGATTACACTAAACACAATCAGTATTTTTGATTGCAGGGAGACAGGGAAGTAAATCTTCTGCAAATAAGGACTGTAGCTAAGCAGGAGACAACCAATAGCAGACTTTGTAAGTGTGCAAACTTATGCTTCTATTTWTAGAATCTGTCAGATGCTTTTTAATGTTAATATATGCACTCTAAATCCTTTAGTGAGCACAGCAATAGAATGCACAACTGAATATAAGACCCCCATGATCTAGATGTCACTAATATGAGACATCATATTTGTGAATTGCAAAACATGTGAGTTATAAAACATGGTATTTGATAAGCTGTAGAGGAACTAAAATCCAGCTCCAATGTCTTTACCTTTCCCCAGGGAGAATCCCATGAGGGCTCTCCTGGCTTGGAGGATTTCCACAAAGCAAAATCATTTGGAGAATGCTTCTCACTCAAGCGATCAGTTGATATACTCAGGTCACCTTTCAAAGCACAAAATAGAAATATTTATATTTTATTTAAACGCTAGCATTATTGATTCTTTTCTCTGTCATACTTCACACTGTGTGAATTAAGGGAAAAAAAAACACTCTAAATTCATCATAATTAACCTTGTTATTCCTTTGCTTCTTGATCAATGCTTGGTTGACAAGAAAGATTACAAGAAAAATCAGCTGCATTGCTTTTTAAGCTTTGACACATGAGATTCATCTATATTCYTTCTGCAGGCACAACTCCAATTTTGCAGTTTCAGAAAAGTAATACAAAAACACAACAAAGCATAATCACTTCACACCAAAATTAACACAATTACACATAGAATTGACTTAAATACACACAGACAATACATTCATAGGATATTTCTTCCACAGTTTAACTCAGCTGCTGCACAAGATGGCTGATAATTATCCAATATCTACATATTTATTATCACTGTTTTCATCACAAATGTGTTCTGCATTAATCACTATGAGTGCCTTGTGATCATTTGAGTTGCAGTCTTATTACAGCATCTTAACTCCTTAAAGCAGAGGGAATTTACAATTTCCACAGTGCCAATACTAAATATGCTTAACAATATCACCTACTATATAAAAACCTCAGATGGAGACAACTGCCAAAATCGCCAAGATTAAAGTGCAAATCACCGAGATACTCGCAGTTCATTTCTTTAGAATACTTCATTATGCACTTTGAATATTAAAAGTTTTATACTTCAAYGTGCATTTGTTACAACTTTTAAAGTTTAGGATTTCTGTTGCCTCTGCAAGTCAAAGTGACATTATCTGTCAGGATGTGGGCAATCATCATAAATGAGTCAGGCCAGCTAAAGTGACAAGAGAAAACTTGGATATGCATGCTTCTAGTTGTAGTAAACACTCTATATTGCTTTATATTTGCAAAAGTAAGCAACAATAACATAGTACTATCTGGTTACGTGGTAGAAATTATGCATTTATGTTAGATGGAGCTTTAAGCGAGCACCTTTTACTTCACATTTGCACAGAAAGTTCAGCTCTAAGGAATTAAATTAGTAAGAATCCTATGCAGTTTAACGCAGCATTTCTCTCAGAAATTGCTTGCTACCTTGATTTCAGCCATGATCTATTAATTACATTTTTTATTTTTTTTTTTTTTACATTTTGTGGATGCTTTACTACTTTAAGGGTACTACACTAGCAGAAGCTAACTAATGAAACATGTTTTATTGAGTGTTTTAAGCTGTTCCTCTACTGTAGCTCTTATCAGAAGACCTATATTCAGATTTAGTTCAACACAACAAGGTTTACAAAGTAAAGAATTTTCAGTATGACAGCAGAATAAGAGAGAGAGGAAATAAATATTTGTCATAAAACAGACATAGCTGGGTAGGAAGGACTTTCACCTGTCATGCGGGAGACTCACCTTTAAGTCCTTGCTCTCCCTACTTTGAACCAGATGAACAGCCAAATGACTTGGCTGCAGTCAAACAACTGGGCTATTCACAATTCTGATAAAAAAGATTGATAAAAAAGTCATCCTAGAATGAAGAAAATTTCTCAGTATTTTCCAAACAAAATACTGTTCAAAGTGCTGGCTCAAGCTACAAAGCCTTGGAAAACAAATCCAGAGGTAAAGAAGTGCAGAAAGTAAATTATGCAACTCTGAAAATAAGTTTGATGAAGACCTCAGTGAAATGAACTGAAAAGATCTGACATAATGTGTACCTACAGCAATTTAATTCTGTGTTTTTTTTCCCCCCCCTCTTTACCTTCACCCTCTTGAAGAGCTTTTTGATCACCTACAGCTTCAGGAACCAATTTAGCATAGGAGTGTTTCTCAGCAGAATCAAATTTCATAGTATCAAAGTACACAGATCCATTGGACACATACCTGAAAAGTTAAAAATAATTATGTAATTAACTTTCTATCAACACTTAAATGAATTTTATCCCCCCAAATCACTACCTCATTTAAACTCTTCAGTGTATCCACAAAGAGTATGGTACTGGTCRGTATGATAAAGGCGACTTAGGTGAGCCTAAGTTCTTATACCTTTCCATAAGGACTTCAGACAAACCATTAAAAGCCAGAATAAAATGCAAAACGAGGAACAGTTAACATTTTTAATTAAAATATGTCAAAAGTATTGTGGAAATTTCCTCTGTTGGAATCATTAACCTGTCATGTCACCTCTTAATATTTTTCAATTATATAGAATGAATCATGTTTATTTCACACTCCGTTTTGCCCTCCTTCACTGTGCTAATTTTGTTCCACTACAGGCATGACAAAGAATTTAACTCTTTTCAAGACCTTGACCTCAATGCAAGTTGTATAGGCTTTTTTTAAGAAATATAAAAAAATGCAGTTTTTGAGCATGAAAATGCCAGAGAAATGATGGCAGTTCAACCACAAGATTTATTTTTTAATAATGAAAATATTTCCACATTTGAAAACTGAGGCTATTAAAAGAAAGCGCACTCATGGTTTTCAGCCTGGATTCTACCACAATACTTAAGAATTTCTAGAAAATTAACTTTTTTCCCGACACACACAAAAATTTCAGACAATGGCAGAAAAATAGTTCTTAAAAAAGACTTATTCCTTTTAAATGATTTCTAACAATCTACTCAGGCACTTTTGAAAATCCCTGCTGAAGGCTTTGAATCAAATTCAGTTCATGTCAATGGGACTTTGACTATTTGTTTCAGAAATGAGTATTTCACTCTATCAAATTAATAATCTAACATCTGTATTTCTAAGAGGCCATAAGACATATAGAGTGCCATAAATTATTATCAGGATAAAAGAAACCTTAAGTTTCTTTACTCAAAGAGAAATTGCTTGTGAATATTGCATTTAAAAATAGAACAGTAACTGTTAAAAGTCTTTTTGCCTCTGAAGAAGTATAAGCACACAACAGAACCATTCATTAAGGAACTTACCCGTAACCATTATCCACAATCTTTTTAACAAATTCCACAATTTCCGGAACATACTCGCTAACTCGTGTTAAAACATCAGGAGGTAATACCTATAGATTAAAAAAATGGAATTGTATATTCATATTTTTTTATTCCAAAGCAAGTGACAATATAAATTGAAAGTCCTACTTCAAGTTTCCTGCTCTGAGGCTTAATGTACTGTGTTCATTTTTCTATTATCCTCTAAGGCCATGTTACCAATAAACAACTGCAGGAGATCCTAGCTGTTTCATTTACTGCTTTTCTGGCAGAACAGGCATTATGTTCATCCTTGATCTGGAGGCAAGTGAATAAAACTTTGCTGACCTGAACCCCTGCATATTCACCTATAAAAATCAAGGATATGTTTGTTTGTTGTCATCAACACATAATTTCTTCACTGCTCAAGAGAAATAAGCAGTCAATCTAAATGCTGAGGTTGGCAGAGCTCTGTTTTGTAGCTATTAGCCTCTCCAAAATTTCTGAATTCTGGAATTACAGGTCCATTTTACACGAGGAAGCAAAGAGCACAGTTGTGAAGCTTTATCTCTAGTTATCTGGGATTGATAACATGTATAGTGGTTTTAAGATTGAGAATCCTAACAACTACCTATTCACATTACAGATTGAAAACTTTATTGATAAAGTTAAAATTTGAGYTTTTTAAATGTATTAAGGGGCTAATTTATATTCTATGCATTATGAGGCATAGCATGCATACTTTTAAAATAGAAAACAAGAGACAGAATAGAATACAAAAGGTTGTATACTTACATTGAGAGCTTCCATGTCTTTATGAAATTCTGCTTCCCAGAATTTGGGGAGCTTAGAGAATATGGAATTGTCTGTCACCTGACTGCCAAATTTTGTGTCCAACCAGTCAGACAGCAAATCTTTTGCTTCTTCCAACAGTGTCTGTAAAACAAACAAAAAAATGTGCAAATGACCTAGGACCTGCCTTGTTCAAACTGCAGGAAGATTTTATTCTGACTGGAGACGTTTGCTTAAGGAAAAAGACACCTGGCTATTAATATAGAGTACTCCTTTCTTCTATCAGACTTTATTATCACATTGTCTTTCATATATTTGGAGGCAAAAGAAGATAAACAGAGAATTGACAGCTGCCTCCATTACTAGTACACAATCCTAACAAAAAAATTGCTTTTGCACACTCCCAAAAAGTGTTTGAAAGAACTKGAATCTCATCAAGAATATACTTTTCATTTCTGTCTTTAAAAATGCATATACTTCAAAAACAACTATGATCTAAGGAACTGCATCTTATGGGTCATCTCTTATATTTAAAGGGGATAGCTTATTACAAGATATCTAATACTTCAGTGATCAGAATTATTTTCAGCAATAATTTTCAGCAACTCCTACTGAAACTGATTCCATCAGGCCAAAAAGCCAGAGAGAAAGTCTAAATCTGTGCAAGAAGATAAACCACCTTAGTAACTATCACAACTGTTGGGTGGAGTGGGGTGTCACTGATAAGAACAGCATCCTAAAACTATTTAGCTGAACCCAGGGATATGACTTTTTCTTTTTTTTTTTTAAATTTAGTGATAATTACTAGAAGATTCTCAAATCCACCATTCCTCTTTTTTTTTTTCCAAGAGGTAATTGCAAGTAAAATACCATTTTTTGAAACTACAGCTACTATAAGACAAACACCCTTTTAAAACATGCTCAAGCTGACCTCATGATATCTGTTGATCTCTTCCGTGGGGAGCTTATTTTGTACTGCTTCTTCCAGAGGGTCAAAAGCAGACTTCACTGCACTCTGAATTCTTTCCAACATCTGCTTTTTATCTGGGTCTGTTGTCTCATTTAATTTAACTGAAAAAAGCTACAACCAGAAAAGAACATTAAAAAACATCTGGTATTACAACAGGGCTATATTCCACATATAATATATATCTTAGCTACATAGTACCTTGCTTGAGATGAATAATACATTATCCCAAATAAATTACTGATACCAAACTATATAGAATAAAACATACTCATCAGAAAGAAAGGTAGATGAATATATTAAGTAGTTCAAAACAAAATATATTTCACATTTGAATAAAGCTTTATGTCTTTTTCTTTAAGTTTGTTCTTTTTTAAAAAAGAACGGATGTTCTTTTTTTTAAAGTTTTTATACATCAAAAAATCATAATTACAGTTACATAGTAATTTTCATTTTCTATGCAGTCAACCACCCTAATTACAAACTGGGTTATCCCAAATCTGAAATGGAGAAGCACAAATGGAAAACACATATATTACACACAATGCTTAAAAAGTATATATTACACACAATGCTTAAAAAGTATGTCAAGCAATGACAGATTTGCACAAAAAATTCCAAACATCCTATTCCAAGGAGTGTATTCAGTTCACTAATATGAGTGATCTGTGATCTGCTGTTCTAAAATGACCAGAGAATCACCTTCTCCTACCTCCAACTCAACAAACACAACTAAATCCCTGAAACTTTGCAGACCTCTGTGCTTTCTAAGTCTGCCAATGATTCAGAAGGGTTATTCCTCTACAGTTCTAAAACGTTTTAAAGAGTTACTTAGAACTTGAATTCTAACAAATATCCAAGTGTTTTCTCAATCCTACAAAAAAAAAAAAAAAAATACATACACACACAAGACAACTCTAGGAACATGATTTTTGTGTGGATAGATCTTGTCAATTGTGTTGAAAGATCTCAAACCMCACTTCTAAAACAATGGCCATTCCAGTAACTGTTTAATACCTGCTTCAATTTGTGTGGTAACAGTTCCATAGAATTAAAACAAGTTTAAACAAATAGGTAGCAACAGCAAACCTGGAAATATTTTTAGATGCTTTGCTACATTACTAAAAAATTGGATTGAATAGGAGCCCACCTGTGAGGCAGTTTTAACGTCTTCAAGTAGTTGAGCTGGTGTTGATTTGTTCTCCCTATATTGTTCAAAAAGGAAATTCTGTCTTGCTCTTTTGATGATCTAACAAAACAGAAACAAGACAATATTTTGTATAGCAACATAGATTTGTAGAATATACAAAAAACTATTACATACCAATAACTCTTCAAAAGTGACAAATTTACAAGAAATTTACAAGAAATTTAACAATTTACAAGAATTACAGGCAGCAATACAAATTAAACACACCATATGGATTTAGCTAGGTGCTTCTGCAGAGTTACTTAAGTACCTCAACAACAGATAATAATAATTTTATAAAGATAACTTGTTTGATGGACTTTTTCATTCTCCATTATTTGTAACAGCATTCATTTATACAGAAGAAAGGCTCTGCTACCAAAGGACTACTGAAGAAGTGAAAAGAATCAGTAACTTTGCGTAAGAAATACATGTACAAGTTAGCACATTTTTTATCTTGGCTTATGAAATGGCAGTTGTGCTGTTTACACAGGGTTCTTTTACTCCCACACTCAAACTACATTATTTCAAATTGCAACCCAAAAAGGCCTTACCTTATCATCAATATCTGTAATATTCATACAATAGAAAACATCAAATTTAAAATAATCCCTAAAGATTCTTCTCAGGATATCAAATGAGATGTAGGACCTAAAAATACAAAAATATGTAAGGGAGATCTTATTGAATACTTCAAACACATTTCTACTCTAAGCATAAACAACCTACTTCAATTTTGGTTAAATTAAATTTATTAATTTAATTAATAAACTGAAATTTGGTTAATTTAAATTTAYTTTGCCAATAAATTTATGGCAGTTTAAACCTTCTCTCATCTACTAGGAAATTTTAATCACACAATGACTTCATAAAACTTTATAATCTATATAATATACTTTTTCTWAACTTAACTCCCGAGTGTTGAGTATAAGACTGTTTTTCAGTAACACATTCATCTAAATAAAATACATTCTTCTATTTATTCTTTTGCTTACAGGAAAGCAAAACTTGTACCAAAAATCAGGAATTACAGTACCTGGCATGTCCCATGTGAGAGGCATCATATACTGTTGGACCACAGCAGTACCACGTGACCTTTTTGCCATTCTGAGGCTGAAATATTTCCTGAATTGAAAGGGAAGTTATAGTCAGCGGAACAGACTGAAGGCAGATGGTCTCAGTTCAGTAACATCACAAATGAATGACACAACATGAAAAAAACTGTGATTTTGACTACCAAAAAGGAAAAAAAAAAAAAAAAAAAAGGTAATTGCTATTCCACTTTCAGCTTTAAGAAAAGACAACCACTACCTTTACCATGTAAAAGAGAAAACTAAATGTGGTTGCTTATGCTACCTCTGCTCTATCAAAATATGGTACTAAATTAAAAAGATTTGGATTTTTTTTCCATTGAAAAGTGTTCTATAAATTCTTCACACATACTTGGATATTTCATCCTATATAACAAACATCACTACTTTCAATTTTCCTCTTCTTCAAAGGACTTCCAAAAAAAGGTTACATGAAGATTTACCAGTATTACATTAATATTATTAGCAGGAATTTCTTGCACTAATAAGATCTGAAGAAAGAAATTCTGATTTTATTTTGATTTTATTACAGTTGAATTACTATTTATTTTAAATGACAATAACTCGCATGTATGTATTATATATTTTAAAGCAATATTAATTGCATTAATTTTAGCGTACACATATATGTGCACACAAGTGTATTTTTTGTTCATTGTAACATTCGACTCTGCAAATATACTTGAAATAGTACCTTTTGCACTTGCTCTTTCGCACTCTATAAAACACAAGCCAGAAATCTGTCTACTCATAAAAAGGACAAGAAAAAAACATTTAGATGASTTTTCTATTTGTGATTATTCTGTCATTCAGTCACCTTATTGCGAGTCAGGCTGTTATAGAGGCAGAGTCTAGAATGTTTTGTCCCTTCAGGAGGAGACCAGTAAGGTTGCACACGTTTGCCTTTACCTAGGGAAAATAAAATAGTTTAGAATATTTAAAAATTTAGGAACCGAAAACACATTCTAGAAACAGATTTGCAGCATAATGAATTCTACTTATCACATCCTTAAGTTACTCCAAAAGGAAAAAAAATACATAATAAGACAAAACAGATCCCATTGTAGAAATCAAAACTAACTTTGTCAGACTCATTTCAAAGCCTCGGAAATCATAGTAAATTATTTCAATTTAGTTTATTATCTACTCTCTGTCTTGCCACTCCTATTAACTTTTGATTCAAGTAACAGAAAGGAAAAGATACAAAAGTGACTACATGCAATTCAGTACATGCTAAAAAGAGCAATTTGGTACGCATTAACTAGAGCTTCAAAATTCAAATAATTGCTAATAAAATATTACATCAGTCCTGGGTTTTCTGCAATGCCACTGATTTTACCATGACTGCATATTACATAATTTGCAAAAAATCTCCAGGGACCAGACCTAGTATCTGGATCCAATATTGACAGAATAYGCTTAAGGTGAGAGGGAGGGCAAACCAAAAAATTTAGACAGAACTTCAGTTTTTTTATCGTACGTTCTTGCTCTGTACACAAAAGATTTCTGAACACACTCTTTTATCASAAATGGGCTCCAGTTCAGCGAAAGGGTAACTTCTGCCATTGCAGAGAGTGGATGAACCCCAGGGTAACAGGAGTGACAATAATCACAGGAGCTGGAAAGAAGCAGCAGAACTATACTTTGGGGAATTTTAACATTTTGAAATCTGCATTTGATCTAAATAGGAATAAAGAAGTTTGCTGTTCACTGAAGCAGTGCAATTATATGTTGCTACACCGTAACAGCAATGTTTAAATAATGTTATATATGCATATGTAAACAGTATAACAAACTTCAAAGCAACACGAAAGTGTTGTCAGAATAGAAAGTTCATACTTTATCAGAACATGTCAACATTTTCTTTCCAGAATTTTCATTTTGTTCTCATTATTTTCCTTACAGAATACCATTGTTCTGATTGCATTCATGGACAGTTTTAGTTCAACAAATCAATTTTTATTGAACAAAAACTTTTTATTTTTTAATCACAACTTATGAAACAAGCTACCAAGCAATCTTGTTTTAAATGCTTGGTCAGTTCATGCCAAAGCAACATACTCTAAAACACTGAAAAATTATTTAATGTGAAATAGGCTACATATTTCCTATCTGGTTGTGGGTTAGACTGACTTCATCTTCTTACTTTTAGAAACATGGCATATCCATGCAAACTGTAGCTTTTAGCTCTCCTGCACACACTGGATGTGAAAGGGCAGGCTTATAGTATTTATTTTTTTTATTTTAAGAAACAACATCATAGTTATTAATTGATGTTTTTCTAAAGAAAAGTATGAGCGCATCATCACTCAGAGCTGCAATTCCCCATGCACTGGCCTGCTTACAAATGTAATGATGTTAAACTAATTATCACATTAACTTGGAATGGAAGCAGAACAGGAAATTCAGAAATGCAACCAGGTTTCCAGGCTAACAGGTGTAGTATCCGCTTTAAGAATTCTCATGGTATGCCTTTTAACTACAATTAAAATATTATACAAACTGTTTGTTTGGACAGCAAAACTGCCTTTGTAGATCCTGTGTTTCAGAATGTTCATTAACTCTGTTCCCCTGATCTGTCATATGAACATTATGACTCAAAATAAACTTATGTAAACTGCATTTAAAAAAAAAAAATCTGTTCTTCACCTTCCTTTCTTCAATTGTCTAAATTTAAAAAATAGAAAAAGGAACCCCCTGCTAAGAGTCCACAGAAATATATATTTATTTTAAACATTTTGTTGTCTGTATCTGCACATAACACTTCAAGTACATGAGTACTTCCATAGTGCAGATCATATCAGGGTACGGATTTGTTTATTGTTTGATTTACAGAGATTACACTGGCATGCTTATTTGTGGCTCMAATTTCCCTCAGGGAGGAAAGCCTATGTGGGTTAGCACAATAAAACATAAAACTGTAAAGCTTTCTTGGCTTACAACCACACTAAAGATAAGAAAAACCTAGATATTGCATCCTAAATTTCTCAGCTCCAGAGCTGGGTGTCATAAGAACACCAAGGAGGTAGAAGGTGGACTTTTTAGGTTGTTCAAAAAGATCTCTGTTAGCAAGAGTCTTCCCCTGGCTGAACTGAAGTCCATTTGCTCTAATGCGCATCTGGAGCCTTCTAAAAGACCCTCAAAGCTGCTGATACAAGAATATCCAAGTTCTATGAAATGTGGCCAATTTATATGTCACTTGCATACTGAACACTGAAGAACACCCGTCCCGGACTTCAGTGACACATGCAGAGGTGGTAAAAGAAAAAGGAGAAACTTATCATCAAGGATTTAATGGACCTTTTCTTTTATTGCTCTACCCTGATCCATGAAATTCTGCTGGGGAATTGGAGCTAGTGGCATTAAATCTACTATCAGAGCCAGCATGAAAAGAAATCGATATCCAGTGTAAGCCCATGCAGGCACACAYGCACACATGCAAAATCTACTTGCAGCTGTCTGATTTTAACTGCTGTCTGCTAGGAACTCAAAACACATATGATGATAGGTTGTGGGAAGATTGTATGGGAATAATATTAGTCAACAGCCTTCAGCAAAAATGACAGAGCAGACATTATGCATTCATTCATGGATATTGCAAACGCTGGACAACAACTCTGTGTTACTACTATTAATTATTCCATGACTCCCTGAGCAAGGATCACACTATAAAGCGATTAAATTAGGCTAGCTCATTGGAAAACATCTCAGGGGAGTGATGCAGCTCCTGAAATGCCAGCACCCATGCTTACACAATAACCTCGATTAACCAGCAGTATTTCCTCAAAACATCAGCAATCCATAGATCACCAGGGTTAAAAGAACCCCAAACATTCTTTTCAAAATTCACCTCACTTTAATAATAATCTCCTGAGGCTGAGGCAGTAATCAGCTWAGTATGAATTTGTAAACTATACAAAAAATACTTAGTTAGTCTTGCAAGGAAAAAAAAAAAATGAAGAAATTCTAATATTGTATTCTAATTAGTATTATGCTAGATAAACTATAAAAATACACATTCACTCTTCAGTCACCAGTTTTTTAAAGAAGCTATCAATAGTAAGTTCTGTACATTGAGGAATTTTCCAAACAAGAAAATGTGGAAACACAGCTTTAGCATTCCAACAGCTCAGGATGCATCAAGTACCATGTAACTGTATGCAGGTAGAACRCTGTGACCTTGAATACAAGCTCATATAGTAAATTTTAAGGTGTGCAAGAATATTAAAGAATGTAAAGGAACTTTTAGGGAGTTCTTAGCATAAAAATCAATGCAATGTAGGCTAGATTGTAACCTGCCCAGCAATTCTGTATTACTCACTTGTTTGAAGTTTACAAGGGTCATTTTTTTCACTGCTGCCATCATAGATTGCTTCTATGTGTCTGTACCACCGGACAACATGGAAATACTGGTCCACAGGTGGCCCCGAAAACTTTCTGAATACCTCCACATCTGCATGTGAAAATGTGAACCCCTGGATATAACTACGAGTGCTCAGGTACTCATTCAAAGCCTTCACCCTGGCTTCCTCTTCACTAATGCTCAGAATAAAACTGTAGCTGGAAGCTGTAAAGACAGAGGCACAGGACATTTGGTAAGAATTAAAAATAGAAAGGAGATCCCATGACCAGAATATATCCTTGTACTACTTGATACAAGATATTGAATAATGATACATTTTCTATTTTTTCAGGGGGTATTCTTTACAAAGGATAGTGAGGGCAGAAGAACATGTCCTTTTCTTGAAGAAATATTTTCTGTTTAGAATTGGAGGAAATTCTCCAAGCACAGCAAGCTTCATCARTCTCCTCTCTATTCCACCCTGGAGAAACACTGATCCTGCAGATTTAAACATGTAATTAATTTTATATATTGTGGAGAGGCTGTAAATATTTCTACTGAAGTTGAGCATATACTTAAGTCTCTACAGGACTGGTGTCAATATGTGAGCTCCCAACATGATGCTCAGTTACTCCTACTTGCTCCAGCAACCCCAACTTTTTGCATATTCCCACACTTCTCCTATGCCATCTCTCTCCCCAGTAACATGAATATAATTGCTTTTGAGCAAAATCTACACAGATTATAGAAAAAGGATCACGTTCCTTTTTTAATTCCACAATTGATTTGGAAAATATGCAAAGTAGACAAGCATGAAGCAATGTGGAAATTGCAGTATCTGTGCTAGAACTGACTCCAGTATATCTAACGTTGGTATTTTCCTTCAGTGATTCAACATTTCTAACTCTGTTTCATGTTTAAAGCATTGTATAAACATTAAGCCAATATCCTGCTTAGGTAGTTGGCCAAGAACATAATTTAAGATGTAGTCAAGGTTACAGAGCAATAAARTGAGGGAGGCAGTATTAAAACTGTGTCCCTAATCGCCAGATCTATAAAAGACCACTGTCACCAACTGTTGAATTTTTAAACAGTGCAAAGACCTTTTTATGAGTAGTTTCCAAAGCACTGAACATGCTCACAGACCAATGCTTTTGGAAAGCAAAGGATATAAGGGCATTGGGGAGTAAATGGTGGTTATGTTGCAGAGAGGATGTGAGAATCTGCAGAATTATTTGTTTTTCCAAATGCAAGGAAATTTCATCAGTTAAGAAAGATTTCAGGAGCATCCTTTTTCCTATAGAGAAAGTAAATATTAAAATTTAAACAGCTGCTCTTCTGGTATGCATAGACTAAGAACATTTCCCTACATTGCTACGATAAACATAAAATGGAAAGGATAACAGACTAGCCCGTTACATCAGGCAGTGGCCATAATGCTGCTATGTGTACAACCTTCTCACAACACAACAGGACAACATGAACTCCAGATGACATGTGTTTGACTCTTTGGAGCATAAATAAAATGTAGTGGTACATGACTTTAAGAGACCTGCAGAACTAATAA